CATGCAAAAGCAAGACAATGATTTCTCAAGGATCTAGAGGCCAATTATTAGAAGTAGCAGAATGTAAGAGAGGAGAACTTAAATTATACTTCCTATACTCCCTCTTCTATGAGAATGTTTATCAGGAAAAAATATGACAACACATATACTTTTAGATGATTGTTTCTTCACATATTTTAATTGTATCCTCTACTGCCCATCTAACACATATATTTGATGTTAGTTGTGAATATATATTTTCTTTTTTTAATTTAAAAAAATTTTCAATTCAGTTTTATTTTATTTTTGGTAGAGACAAGTTCTTGCTATATTGCCCAGACTGATTTTGAATTCCTGACCTCAAGAAATCCTTCTGCCTCGGCCTCCCAAAGTGCTGGAATTACAGGCATGCACCACCACACCCAGCCTTACATTTTTTTTTTTTTTGAGTTGGAGTCTCACTCTGTTTCCCAGACTGGAGTGCAGTGGCACACTCCTGGCCACTGCAGCCTCGACCTGCTGGGCTCTGGCAATCCTTCCACCTCAGCCTTCCAAGGAGCTGGAACTATAGGCGCCTGCTACCACGCCCAGCTAATTTTTGATTTATTGTAGAGATGAGGTCTTGCCAAGTTGCCCAGATGGGTCTCGAACCCATGGGCTCAGGCAATCCACTTGCTTCGGCCTCCCAAAGTGCTGGGATTACAGGCTGAGCCACTGAATCTGGCCTAGCCTTACATTTCAATTGTCATGCTGTCAGTGAAATATTCTGTAGCCTTAATAAATGTTTACGTTAAAACTTTTAAGTTGATCATAGGTACTGAAAAAAATAATAAACTACTTTAAGTGCTATACATGTTTTAACTAATTTGACCCTAGTAATTCTATGGGTTAGATATAGTTGTTATCCCTCCTTTATAGATGAGGATTTTAAGATTAAAAACTCAAAGTCACATAGGTAACTGAGTGATGGAGCTGTTACTAGTCCATGCAGACTGACTCCATAGTTTTTGGTCTTAACCTTTCTTTATGAAATGGAGTATAGGATAGCAACCAGAATCCATATGAAGCGTCAAGCTGGAATAGTTTTTAGTTAGTGGCCATGTGAATTGTACATTGAGGAGATGCAGCAATAGGCTCAATTTTTCGTTTTCGTTTTTTAAAAGAACAACAAAGTGCCAAAGTGCCAGGTGCAGTGGCTCATACCTGTAATCCCACACTTTGGGAGGCTGAGGCGAGAGGCTTGCCTGAGCCCAGGGATTCGAGACCAGACTGGGCAACTTGTTGAGATCTTGTCTCTACAATAAATAAACAAATTAGCCAGACATGGAGGTGCACATCGGTAGTTCCAGCTACTTGAAAGACTGAGGTAGAAGGATCGCCTGAACCCAGGACATCAAGGCTACGGTGACCATAAGCATACCACTGCACTCAAGCCTGGGCAACAGAATGAGACTCCAACTCAAAAAGAAAAGAAAAAAAAAAGGTCAGCAAAGTTATATAATTTGTAAAGGACTTCCAGTGTTATGTTAACCATCCTACAATGGGTAAATATGAAATAAAACTTCTGTTCCCAAGTAACTTGTAATCAGAAAGGAAGAACCAGAAAACAGATTGAGTTGTTAGAATAATTGATTATTAAACTGTATGGGACATACTACAAAGCAATACAAGTTGTATCATTATGGATGGAAATAGACTAAGTATCTTCACAGAGGAGGTTGAAAGCAAAATGGTCCTTGGGAGATGGATAGAATTTGAATCTCTTGATTCAGTTAATGCTGGGGAAGCAAAGGCAAGGAGAAGATAATATTTTCAGTATATAAGTAAATGAATTTTTAATAGTTTTTCATAATACAGTAGCCTGCAACTCGCTGTCTCAGTAGCTCTATTTTAGCATTAAATGAAGAACTTGCCTCATAGTTAGGCTTGTTGGGGTTTTATTTAGCTTAAAATTTAAATGAAGAAGTTCTTCAATGGTTTTGAGTCATTACACTCATGAAAATTGAATTATATTATTTTGAAGAACGAAATTCCTGAATAATTCCTATTGGGAATCTAAAGAGAAATTAGTTTTCTAACAATTTAGAGGTAGATATCATAGAAAAGTTGTGAATATTAACTGTGATAAATATATTATTGCTACTTTCATAGTAAATTAAACAATTTTCCTTTAGTATACTTTTCCATAGATTCATCACCTTAATGAGAGAATGCTAAATTGACATGTCATAGATTAATGGCAAGTAGAATCTATTGTATAAAGAATGATTCAGTTTTTAGATTAACTTCAGTATTTGTTAGCTTTTTAAATTTTTAGAAAAATATTTTAATTTTATAATTAAAGACAAGTTCTCACTTTTTGCCCAGGCTGGCATCAAACTCCTTACTCCAAGTGATACTTCTGCCTTGGCCTCCCAAAGTGCTAGGATTACAGGCGTGAGCTGCTATGCCAGCATTGGTTAGAGTCTTAATTAAAGTTAGTTGCTAAATATCACATATTTTAACCTTTAATTGCCACTAATTGAATACCATTAAATAATAGCCACTGTAGAGTAATTTAAGGTGAACCTGTTTTTAAGCTAGGTTAAATAAGAAAAATATTGTTATTCATATTAAAATCAATTGGATCACCTCTGAATAGGTTTCCATATTAACTGGATATATTTCACTTTTTCTAAGGTAAGTGATAGGATTATTTGGTTAGAAGCAACCACAACCAACTCTTGAGCACAAATAGAATTCGTTAAGAAGTTTTCAACCACTCACAGAATGATAGCAAGACTGAAGAAGTTGGTCTAGAAAGAGAAAGACTGAGCTACTTTGGATTGCTGGAAGCAGGAACTACAGGAATGTCTCTTTGCTGGTACATTCTTTTCAGGGCTCCACTACCAGAGTGAATAAACTGCTTTGTCTATTTATTTCTCTAACAGGGTCTAGTCTGAATTCAGAATACAAGGATGGGGCTTTCAACCTAACTTATTTCACTTGCTTGTCCCATGGTATGCTAGGGTGGTGAAAGGTCCTTACACAAGGATTCTCCAGAAACCTTTCCTTTTCATAGTGACAGGGCAAGTGCCAGGATTTACTCTCTCCACGTTAGATGCTGCATGGGTGAAAACTACACCTCTTCCATACACTTATCTCCTGTTTCAGAGAATCAGGAAGCTGCTCATAGAAAACAATATAATTAAGATTTCTAAGGACAAAAGTTGAAAGAGAATACCTTAAGTTTTCATACAGACAACTGTTGTATAAACATATTTGTGGAACTTCAGTTATTTTTTTCCATTTTATAAGGTATAAAACATCACTTTCCAGAGAGAATATATTCTAAATTGGAGATACTTCACGTATTTATCATTAACTGAGTTCTGCCAGTGTCATTTCCTCTAAGACATACGTTTGCTTTTCTTACATTCTGTTCTGAATATTTCCTGTGAGACAGTTATGACTTTGAAGTTGAGTCTTCCAGTGACATTCATTAGATTCCCTCAAGAAAGGGAATATGTGGCAGAGAAAAATCTACTGAAAGAACCTAAATATAATACATTTGCTGGCCAATAATTTCTGTTTCTACATTGCATGAGTTTTCTGACTGGGTTTAAAATGTTCTAGTCACTCTTTTTATAAAGCTTTACTTTTTTTGTTCTTACATTTTTATGTAAAAAATAACTTTTACATTTTTAATATTTTCATTAAAAGCAATGCTAAAGTACCTTTGGAGTCCTAAAAAAATTCATTTTCTTTCCAGTGAAATGCAATTGTCACAACCAGTCTTAAAGAATAACTTAATGGAATACATTTTCACTGACTTTTTTCTATTTTAGTAGTATTCCATTCTGAGACAGAATCCAGTGTTTATATCAGATGATGTTTCTTTGTGGCCTTTTGTGAAACAAATATTTTAAAATGCACACAGATGCCTTGTAAAATCAGAAATAGTCATTTCTAACCTATTCAAGACATATAAAATACGATTATTCTGTTAGTATTATGGTGAACAGCCAGAGGTGGCAAACAGGCTGATTTTCTTTAGTGCAGTATCATGCTGCCAGTACCTCACTCACTCACTTCTCTGTAATCCACAACAGAACTATTGTCTGTGGAAATCAGTGACAAGCCCATGTTACTGCCTTGCTTCTGAGCTGATAGCTCAGAACACTGGTACACTAAAGCTTTGCACTCCTATTCAAGAATTGTACGTTAACTAGATAAGGCCTTTGCTTTTTAAATTATTTTTAATCATCAACTCAAGTGTTGAATTAGTCTTGTGACAGTGATAGTTGGTTTATGAAGTTGAAATTTTGGCAAAACTATTTTTTTTGCAAATGTTATTGACAGTTAACACTTCTACATAAATTAAAGAAAACCATTAATTGTTATAATGGCTTCATTCTGTAGTTGAACCATTTCCAGTGTATTATATTGTTCAATGCAGTTGTTATTGATTTCATCTTTTTTCATGATGATTTATTAATTGTCACTTCTCACAAAAAGTTATGGAAATCTCATGGACTTTTTTATATTTTCTACACTTAGTTTTATTTTATTTATTTTTAATTTTAATTGCTTTTTCTTTACTTAAGTTTTACTGATTGTTTCTGAGTTTTGAAGCTAGGAAATCATACAGATGGAACCTTACTCTCTTTTCTATTTTAATTAGCCTGATAACTGTATTTTTATGATATCACAGGTTTTTTTTTTTTGGTTTTTTTTTTTTTAGTTAAGATATAAAATGCTGCTTGGGTCCTTTAGTCCTTTAATAATAATCTCTGTGGAAAGTCATGAAGTCTAAATTTCAAAAGTAGTGATATATTGTAGCTAGCAGAGGAAAAATAAAAAGCAAATATTTCAGGAGAACAAACAATCATAGTCCCAACCAACCTTGCTGTAGTTCTGTTCACAGTCTATTAACACCATTTTTAAAAGATAAACTTGGGGGGCCTAAATTGATACCATTAGGTTCCTCTTCCATTGTAGAACAGTGAAGACAAAAGCACTCACCATCTTAATATTCACAGGACTGTGCTAAAGAATAATGATTTAAGATCAAGACAAGAGTTAACTGCCCATCTCACCAACCAGTGGCCTTCCCCAGGAGCTCTGGATGTCAATGCCGTTGCCTTGGATACGTTGCTTTACCGAAAACACAATAAACAGTGGTATGAGTAAGTGTAACACTTTTTTTTCCAATTACAAAGTTAGTTGTACCAAAATATATGGCTATCCATTTTGGTTTCTCACTTATTTTTTCTGAATTTATTATTAGCTTAGAGCAAAGGGAGGATATAAGACGACTTTGGTAAGGTTAGATTAAAGCAATAGATGTGTTAAGTTTTGAAGAAAAGGCATCCTGGGAAAATAAAATATTTGAGAAATTCATATGCAAACTATCTACTTCTCCAGTTAAATTGTCAGTCAGTCCTTCAGTTAAATCTATGAGCTTGTATTAAATGAGCTATCTATTTCTGAATTCTAGCTTTGGTGTTATATTTACCTTAGGACTAATTTTCCCACTTTTCAGAAACATACAGAATTATATCTCATGAAGTAGTAGACAGATATTTACTTGTCCTTGATGGGTCTGAAGAGTTTTGTTCACTTTCAACAAATCTGATTCTTAGAAACCATAGAAGATACAATCATTCTATCTATGGACCTCAAGATCCTTTTCCTATTTCTTTGTCCAAATATTTCATTTAGTCATAGTGTCCTAATGTTAAGAGAACTAAAAAATCTTCCTTTAGGTAATCTTTATTTTAAAACTTATAAATTGTATTATCTTCTTTTGCTTTTAGCCACCTTTATAATTTTTTCCACTGTCTCTATTTTTCTGTTGTCTAAAGCCAATTTTCTATTTTTCCTGGTATTCCTCCTCCCTTCCATCACCTTCTGTTTGCTTTCTTTTCATCCTTTTCCTCCCTCGCTTTTCATTTTCCCCTTCTTTTCTCTCTTCTTTCTCTCCTTTCTTCCTCCTCTCTCTTCTGCTCTTTCTTTGGAGTCCTTGTTTTCAAATTTTATTGGCAGAGCCACACACTTCTATCTGTGCTACATAGAGCGCCTTTTAGTGAGTAATTAGTAATCAGACATTTCTTCCTCTTGCTCCTTCTCTTCCTTCCTCCTTTCTTCCTCCTCCTCCTTCCTGCTTCTTCCTTCCTGCTTCATGCTTCCTCCTTCCTTCTTCTTCTTTTTTTGAGTCAGGAACTTACTCTGTTACCCAAGCTAGAATGCAGTGGCACTGTCACAGCACAACCTCGAACTCCTTTCAACTCGGCCTCCTGAATAAACCACTGTTCCCGGCTAATTTTTGTTCATTTGTTTGATTGTTTTGGTAGAGACGAAATCTCACTCTGTTGCCTAGGCTGGTCTTGAATTCCTGGGCTGAAGCATTCCTCCCACCTCAGCTTTCCAAAGTGCTGGGATTGCAGACATGAGCTACCAGGGCCTGCCAGTAATCAGACATTCCTACGAGGAATTAATTTTAGCACAGATGTAGCTTGTACCTGCTTTACTCTGTAATGTTTTTTGTTTATCAAAGGCAAAATTTAAAATAAATTTGGGCATTTGTTGTTTAAGGAATTGCTAGGGACTTTAATGCTTTTCTTGTTTCATTGATTATTAGTGATAAGTAGAAAAAAGTGAACAAAGTGTTAACAGAATAAATCAGTAGAACTTCCTCCAACATCTAATAAACCATGTTTCCTAGTATAATTCAAGGAGTTGACTTAGAATATTTCATAGATTGGAATCTAGTTCCCTTTTACACCCTTTGAAAGTTTATAAATACCTAGAGTATATCCTATTATGCTGGTATAAAGTTTTATCTTCCTGTGGCATGTTTAATTAATAGAAGAATACTATTTTATTTGTCATTCTAGTTTATGTTTGGAAAAAATGGAATTTGTAGCATACTTGGTATTATTTTGTATACAACATATGACATACTCTTGCTTTTTTTTTTTCCCCCCTTGAGTCAGGGTCTCACTCTGTTGGCCAGGGTGACAGCAGTGGCACTATCATGGTTCACCACAGTTTCAACCTCCTATGTCAGGTGAGCCTCCCACCTCAGCCCCTAGAGTAGCTGGCACTACACTCATGCACCACTACACCCAGCTGATTTTTAATTTTTTTATTTTTTGAATTGGAATCTCACTCTGTCACCCAGGCTGGAGGGCAGTGGCACACTCCCAGCCACTGCAACCGTGACTTGCTGGGCTCAGGTGATCCTTCTACCTCAGCCTTCCAAGTAGCTAGAGCAGTCCTCTTACTTCAACTTCCCAAAGTGCTGGGATTATAGGCTTGAGCCACCATGCCTAGCCAATTTTTTTATTTTTTTGAGGACACAAGGTCTTGTTATGTTACCCAGACCGGTCTCAAACTCCTGGACTCAAACAATCCTACCACCTCCACCTACCAAAGTGCTGGGATTATAGGCATGAGCTACTGTGCCTGGCAAGCCCTTGGTTTTTAACTGCAAAAATATTACCACAACATTAAATTCTTATAAGTTAAAAGACTGTGCCTTTTTATTGCAATATCTACATTGTCATGGGAGATAGTGGTAGGTAAAATATTTTAGCCAGAAGACATGTTCCTTTGCCTACCTACAAAGTTACCCATTGAAGAGCCAATAAAAAGTCTAAAATGGAATATGTATTTCTTCCACTGATTTTTACCAAAGTATTGGTATGGTAGTTGATTTTTACAAAGTATTATTGCAGCAGCAAAAATAATTGAAGTCATAGGAAAAAGGGCAGGAAAATTCCCAGTTCATCTGTTAAGCATGGATCCAGATTTCATACTTCCTGACTCAGTTACTCCACTACCTGAGGAAGGGACATCCTAGCATCATCCTTTAGTCTGGTATGTTCTCAGATGTTGGAATTGCTTTTAGATGGCCCTATTTCCATACTGATATCCCTGAAGAAAAAAGTATGCAGCTGGTTGTAATTCAGAGATCACTGAACCTAGAATCTGAAGTCGGGATTTGTAAGTTATCCCTGCTACTTTCTTTTCTTTTCTTTTTTTTTTTTTTTTTGAGTTGGCGTCTCACTCTGTCGCCCAGACTGGAGTGCAGTGGCCGCTCCCGGCCACCGCAGCCTCAACCTGCTGGGCTCCGGTGATCCTTCCGCCTCAGACTTCTGAGTAGCCGGAATTACAGGCATGTGCTACCACGCCCAGCTAATTTTTTGATTTATTGTAGAGATGAGGTCTCGCTGCCCAGGCGGGTCTCAAACCCGCGGGCTCAGGCAATCCACTCACCTCAGCCTCCCAAAGGCGCGGGATTACAGGCTGAGCCACCGAGCCTGGCTTCCTGCTACTTTCTTGTCATGCAACATTGAGCAATGCTTCTTCTTCTTTCCTTTTCTCTTCCTGCACATCTAATACTGTGGATGATGCCTATATAATGGAATTTTAAGGATTAAATTGCCTGACACTAAATAACTTCTCAGTGAATATTTATTGATACTCATAATCTTTTGGGTTTCTACTCTAACTTAAACCTGTATCTTCTGTGTTTGGAGACCTATACACCCACCTAACTTCCCAAGGTGTACTTTCTAAACCTTATGTAAAAGTCAAATGACCAACAAATCCCCAGTTGTTTTCAATAAATAATCCCAGTTGTCTCATATAAAAATGGAGGCTTTGGATTTTCAGAATAGATGATCTCTTTATATATCATGTTTGAGGCTAATCATAGCTTTTCATCAGGATGAAATTTGCTGTTCTCAAATTTGTAATAATAAACTAAGGCTCTTAGACTACCTGATCATTAATTCCTTTTAATCTGACCAGTATCTTAAATAGTTCAACAGATGTTTATCAAGAATCTACAAATTATGAAGGAGGTGGCCAAAACCATTTTAAAATAAGAAACATTAACTAGCTCTCTTGATAATGTAGGGAAAGAAACTGACCCTATATAATTAGTTTCAGTTTTAATGCTAGTAGTTATTTTTTCTACTAAGGCTATTGGATGTCTATGACTGTTGCTCAAAGAACTCTATAACTTCATTCTACCAGCTAGACAAAGATAACGTTACAAAGAAAGAATGTGTTAAAAGAAAAACTGTAGACAAATTATGCAGTTTATTTGAGCAAAGGATTAATGGATCAGGCAGGGGTCAGAACCAGAAGAAATTCAGAAAACTTTGCCCAGCAGTGAAAACAACAAGTTTTTATAGGTTGAACCAAAACAAAATAGAGAAATAATTGGATTGGCTACAGCTAAGCATCTGCTTATTTGAGCATGGTGTAATGAGTTGGCTGTCTGTGATTGGCTGCATCTCAGTTGTTTGTGAATAACTGAAACTTGACCATTTGTTACAAAAAATAAATTCCTAAGTTATTAGGTTTTGGTTTGTTTCCTTACTAAGTTAGGTTGCAGTTTGTTACCAGGAACTCAAAGTGGGGGGATAGCTTTTAGACTACTGTCCTCCTACTTATTTAACAAGAGTGTGATGTGTAATTTAATAAATTTGTTGTTCTTGTTTATATTTCTTAAATTGAACTATAGATAACTTGGTTATGTTGTCACCTATTCATGGAAGGATTCCTCTCACAATAGAAGATTTAAATCTGTTTCCCTTTATTGTGCTGTTTATAAAACCTTAAAAATATGATTTCCAGTTTATGGCTTGATTACTTAGACCTGGAAAAATTAGCTATGCTGGATTTTATATCTTTTTCCATATTTCAAACATGGGAAGATCATGTTAAATTGTTAAAGTGCTATAAACTCACTGTAAAAACTTAATAAATAAGTGTACAAGCACATTTCTTTAGCACACATAAAATCATTGATCACTTGTTTGTTTCCAATAGCTTCTGTTTTAAACTTTTGTTTTTTTATAGATAAAGTCTAGGTCACAGGAGTCTGATAGATAATCTTGTTAGATTATCTGCTATACAATATTATTAGATTATTGCCTAACCTACCCATTCTTACCCCCCAAAAAAGGTTCACTATCATAGTTATATTTTTTACCTAAGCTTTTTTAGTCTTTTAAATTTATCATTGTCTCTCCTAATTTAGCTATCATTCGGATTGCAAAATCATGAGTTCTTACATGCCTTTCCTGATTACTATTTAAGCTATTAATTTATCTTCATGACTTTCACTTTAAATGTATCCAGAGTTCCCATGTGTGTCTTCCAAACATGT